TTTTGACAAGCTGAGTGTCCTCATTGTTCCATCATCAAAGGCTAAAACAGTCTCCCTCCATGCCTCCATGCCTCCTCTCCCTCCTCTATTTGTTAATAATTTCTTTTGAAGGATAAAAAAGTCTATTTTGCGCGTCCGGGTCCTCAATAGTTATCTGTTTAATTACTATATTGTCTATTTTTACTATTTGTTAATAATTTCTTTTGAAGGATAAAAAAGTCTTTAATTTAATTTGGTGGATTTGTTGGATCCTTCCATCAAATTGCTGGGCCCAGACGGAGAGAGTCTCCCTCCATGCCTCCTCTCTTCCCTCCAACCAAACAAAGGATTCACTCTCCCTCCTCCACTCTTCCTCCCACCAAACAGAGTGTTAATCTATTGTCCTAGTGATAAGTGTACATAAAAAACATATGCGCGTCCGGGTCCAATGAAGCAACTCTTATGTGACAGCAAACACATCAAGATTTTAAATGAGATTGCTGCTTTTGGACTAGAGGAAGCGAAAATATTAATTCAAGTAAAGATGAAAAGCATGTAGAAGCAAGGAAAGAGGATTCATCTAACCGCATGTCCCAGAATTTTAAGCCTCCATGTCCAGCAGTTACAATAATATTTGCACCCTCTGTATCACTGAAAATCACAAAAGATAACATTTAGCATAAATCAACAAATATAGAGATCATATAGTTTATGACATTACAAGAAAAGGCATCAAACGAACATAATTCTTTCATTTTCTTAATTTATATTATTCCTTACTTAGTTTATTTATTTTTTCTCTCTATAGTACACTTTACACGTGCACATGCACTCCAACAGGATATGGACGTTGTGTGGCTAAGAGACCCTTTCCAAAGGCTAATTAGCAAAAACGAAACCGAGGATTTACAAATAAGCAGCGATCTATACTTGGGGAATCCATGGGATGAGAAGCATCTTATCAACACAGGATTCTACCACGTCAGATCAAACAACAAAACCATTGCGTTGTTCCATAAATGGTACTCCCTCAAAGACAATTCCACGGGACAAAAGGAGCAAGATGTCTTATTGGGCCTAATAAGAGGCGGTGTAATTGGGCAATTGGGCCTTAAGGTGAGGTTCTTGGACACCAAATTCTTTAGTGGGTTTTGCCAAGACAGCCACGACTTCAGGGCAGTGACTACGGTGCATGCTAATTGTTGCCGAAGTGTCAATGCTAAGGTCACTGATCTGAGGGTTGTGCTCCGGGATTGGAAGAGGTTCAAGAAGATTACTTCCTATAAACGG